AGGAGAGGAGAGAGGAGAGGAGAGAGGAGAGGAGAGGCAAGACAGGGAGAGCGGGCAGGCAGGCATCACCAGGTGAGGCCAGAATATCACTACAGCACAGCTGAAAACCTTTGTTGCTGAGGCAAAGGTCTACAGGGAAGGCCTATTCTTATATAGCCCAGTCCTCAGCTTTCCCAGGTGGCACTCCTGAGGAGCTGGGCAACAGCTGCAGGAAAAGGGCCCAGTCCTATGATCCTTCGAGCAGTTCTCCCCAGAGAGATGGGGCCGATCCTGCCTGCGTTAAGGTTGCAGGGTTCCAGCAAGGCCCCAGTTCTGACAGAACCACGAAAGTTATGTGTGTTATTTGCTGTCAAGTCAGGTAAGTAAGATATTTAAGGAGTGTTTTTCTAGTTCCACCCCACAATCCTTGAATTTCTATAGCAGAGTGGAGATTCATACCCAGGTCTCCTGAGTCTTAAGCCACCACTCGTCCCATTGCACCACACTGGATAGTGTACATGTTGGGTATTATACAAACTGAGTTATAAGACCTACTTAATTGAAGTTTGCCTTTTCTAAATATCTTCTCATCTTTAAAACTTGTCTCAGTTATGGTAAGCTATATTTTAATCCAGTGTTAGCATTCCAGAGAATATTCATGAATCTTTATTTGAAGAGACACCGAAATAAATTATAATCTCTGATTTAATTTATCTAATTTCATTTACCTGAACATTCTCTTCAATCTGAATAAGGGTGAAATGTGTCATATAAAAGGCAATGCCTTTCTCCACATATTTTTGTTCAAAGTTGTTCCTTAACTGAAATTAAAGTACTGTAGAAGAAGAGGTTGGTAGACAACAGTTAATGTCTGAAGTTATTAGCAATAAAACATATTCTTTCAGGCACTGATGTTTCATCTGGAAAAAGTAAATGTGAATACCCTTCTTCTGTATTTCTCCAATATCATGGTACAAAAGCAGGAAGTCAAATTTAGATAATAGCATCCATGCAATGAACTGAATAAGTATGATTCTTTCCCTCCTATATTTTCCTCAGTATTAGTCATATTCAAGCCAATAATTTTAATTCAAGCTTTCCTCAGATAGGTCTTGGGGGAAAAATGGAGGCAAGGGGACAAACTGAATGCACTGGAAAGCTCTGAAGAAGATTTGGAATAAATTCCAAGTAGGTTAAGAAAGTCCAGCCCAGCATTATTATGCATTATGCTTAAAGTAATACAGATGCAAGCTTTTCCTGGCACCTTCTTAACATCTGAATTTGGATTTTGTTGTTCTTGTTCTTGTTGTTCAGAATACAAGATCATATAGAATGCAAGAGTCTCTGATGGGAGGAGATTCTATTGAAATTATGCTATTCCTAATTTCTAATACATTCTGATTTTATTCTCATTCTGAATTGTTGATTGTTATAAAATGTTTTGTAAGACAACTTGAGTCATAGTTTTTGGGGAAATATGGCATACAGATGAATGAATGAATGAATGAATGAATGAATGAATGAATGAATGGGCTGAGAATGATTTGCCAACATGTAAATTAAGGAGTGAATTAGAAATGAAACACAGCCGTGTAACATTTCAATATAAAATTCCGACACTAATCAGAGCATGAAAAAATCATTCTTGGGAAGGCTTTCTGGGGGGAGGGGGGCGGTTGCAGAAGATTCTGGAAATCACTAGAAATTCTATTCCAATAAGCCTAATAATGCAGTACTAGAGAAGGAATGTGGTGGCGCTGCAAGTTAAACCTCAGAGGCTCTGGGCTGCAAGGTCATAAGAGCAGCACTTCGAATCCATACGTCAGAGTGCGCTCCCGTCGCTTTCCCCAGCTCCTGCCAATCTAGCAGTTTGAAAGTAAGTAAATGTGAGTAGATAAATAGGTACCACTACGGTGGGAAGGTAACATCATGTGGCCAGTCGCACTGGCCACATGACCATGGAAGATTGTCTTTGGACAAAGTGCTAGCTCTATGGGTTGGAAGTGAAGATCAGCACTGCCTCCTAGAGTCAGACATGACTGGACTAAATGTCAAAGGGAACCTTTACCTTTACCTAGAGAAGTAAACCAAGAATAATTTCTTAAACATCTTGAAGATTTTTTTTAAAAAAGTATGAACCTGTTATGCAACCAATAAAAAGCATTGTAATCAAAACTGCCCAGTCATGGCGCTGTGATTCAAAATGTTCTCTTCTTCTAACCTCTGAGGGCAGGGGCACATCCATTGACAAAGATCTTAAAATTCTGGGGGAGGCTTATTTGGGATTTCTGATAATTTCCAGAATCTCCTGTACTCCTCTCTGCCATTAAAAGAGTGATTTTTTTTACTGCCTGTAGAAAAAGAAGGAGGAGATCCATAAGCCTTGTTATAGGATCACAGCTCTGATCCCACTGCATTCAAGCCAGTGCACCAAGCATTAGTGGTATGTTGGACTTCTCTTTCAATAGGATTCAAATGAAGATACTGAATGGAATGACATACTGAGAGATTTTGGGATTCTGCCCCCCAAAAAAGAGGTTAAGGATGAAACTGAAGAAATGGTTTTGCGTTTACAGAAAGAAGCAGAAGGTAAGGATAATTGAAAAGGTACTGTTAATTATTAGCATAAATTAACTTCATTTAATTTCAACATAGTAGGTGTTATACTATACTAAAGAAATAGAGGGCCAACTCCTGTTCTTAGATGTCATGGTCATATGCAAAACTGACCTCTGATTGGGACACAAGGTCTACAGAAAACCCACCCACACAGACCAGTACCTACACAAAAACTCCAACCACCACCCACAGCAAAAAAGAGGCATAATCAAAACACTGGTAGACCGTGCAAATCAGAACTGTGAAGCTCAGTTTCTCAGCACCAAACTCAACCATCTGAATTGGGCCCTACAGGCAAATGGCTACTCCAAAAATGAAATCACAAGAACCATCAAACCAAGAAAACAACACCAAACTGAAGCAAAAAAACAGCCACCCACAAATAAAATATTTCTGCCATACATTAAAGCGGTTACGGACTGCATGGGGAAACTTTTGAAAAAATACAACCTACAAACAGTATTCAAGCCCACCACAAAAATACAATAAATGTTACGGTCAGCAAAGGACAGAAGGGCCCCCCTCACCACTGCAGGAGTATGCCAGATACCTTGCAGTTGTGGTCAGGTATATATTGGAGCCACAAAACGCAGCATTCACACCAGAATCAAAGAACATGAGAGACACTGCAAACTAAAACAACCAGAAAAATCGGCAGTAGCTGAACATGCCCTAAAACAAGCTGGACATGAAATTCTATTTCAAAATACTGAAATACTGGACATTACCAGCAATCATTACATTAGACTGCACAAGAAAGCTGTTGAAATCCACAGACATCAACAGAACTTCAACAAAAAAGAAAGATACTATCGGTGGTGGTGGGGACCTCTGAGAGGCCTCCCATGGTGGTGGAGAAGCCCTGGAAGGCATCCGGAGGCAGATTGGTGGCCTACGGGCTGAAAGGGAGAGGTGGGGGAAAGCACCAAATTTGAATTTGACACTTTCCCCACCTCCCCCTTCTGGTCCGTAGGTCAATTCTCCAGCCGCAAGTCGAAGTGAAACTTTGCGGCTGGAGAAGTACAGAGGTCGGAAAGTACGTAAGTGGAGCCATATGTAAGTCAAGACTCCACTGTACCTGGAAATAACTTCTACCCTGTTTTCCTGAAATTAAGACCTAACCTGAAACTAAGTCCTAGTATGATTTTTCAGGATGCTTGTAATATAAGCCCTAACCCCAAAATAAGCCTAAATTAAGTGAATCTCTGCCCTCCACCATTGTGCAGCAACCAGAAGATGACATGACTGTATTTGCATAAATGTAGATTGTTGTACATGAAAAAATAAAACATCCCCTGAAAATAAGTCCTAATACATTTTTGAAGCAAAAATTAATATAAGAGCCTGTCTTATTTTCGGGGAAACACAGTAGTGAATGTTTATTGCTGTGGCGGAATGCCTATGTCACTCCTGTCCATCATATGGAGCTCAAGGGCAGGAGCCTATGATAGGACAGAGGGGGCGGGGTTAGAGTGAGAGTTAGACCGTGAGAGAGAATGTACATAAGGAATGGAAGTGAGGGAGTTAGGACTTTGAATTGAGAGAGTTAAGACAGAGATTGGAAAGTTGGAGTGTTATAGAGAATCAGAAAGAGGTAGAAGAAATAGATAATTGATAGAAGATTAAAGAATATTGTTGAAGTGGTTATTGTGAATAAAAGCACATACAAGCAAACCAAATCAAATCCAATTTAATGAATGATTCTCAACAACTGTGATTTACATCTGTGATTTACATACCAACTAAAAGATCAATAAACCTGTTATATTGGCAGCATGTTTCTGAGGTACATATATTTGATATAGTGTGGACTAGATCCACTGGTGGCAGCATAAAAAGAGGCAATGCATCCTGAGGGTGGACCTGTGTTTGGGGAGAACAAACAATGGACACAATTGCACTTAACATTCATGAACTAGAATTCTGTAAACATTTAGGATTGAAAACAACAAGGAGTTGTGTGGCACCTTTAAGAGTACTAAATTTATGATAAGACTTGTTGCCCACTTTCTCACTTACACAGTGTGAGGTTATGGGGTTCCATATAGAAATGCAGCATGTATAGTTGGAAATGGCATGAAGCCAGTACAGAGGGAACAAGTTACCTTGAGAACATTTCTTGGAAGCCAGGAGATAAATTATGTAAACAGGAAGCAAAAGAAAATCAACAAATTTAAAATTCATTTTTATATGTGTCTGACAATAAATCCTAAACAGCAATATTTTCAGGGCAACCATTTTAGTCTGTTGCAGCAAAATAATAGCATTGGAAGGAAAAAATTTATCTCAGTCTGGTAGCAGTATTCCCCTTTCCACGCAACCATAAGTACTGTTCTTATACCTGGAGCCCTGATATATCACAGGGCTTGTAGGTGCCCTTATTAGTAGTGCTATTATTCTTGTGAATAAATATATAGAAAAGCACAGTAAACTAGATGGCCCTGTATATTTTGCTGACTATATGTATACATCTCTTTACATGGATGAACAAGTTATCTGTTTTAGTATCTTGAAGCCCTGGGTAATATTCACTATGATTGTTTTAAAATGAATTATAAAAAATACTGGTACAGTATTCTCATTTTGATGCTCTTATTTGGCACCCTTCTATCCCATTTTTCCTCCAAGGAACTCAGTGGCAAACAAGTACTGCCACATTGTTGTGGGAAAAAATATCTCCCATCCTTCTATCTTTAGAACATTCTTGTGAAGTTGTTTAAGTCTGAGAATGTGAGTGGCCTGAAGTCACTCAGCACACTTTGTGTCTCATGGACTTTTGGACTTAATGTATCCTGATTCTAGTCCAATATTCTTTTATTCAATGGTGACAGGAAAGTGAGGCTTGTGTGGGACCTTCAATAGCCATTACCTCCAGAAGCATTTCGTAACCATGGCTCCTGACCGAAATCTCCACTATTCATTAGAGATAATCCATCATTAGAAGAGGAAATTCTTTGACTGCAGAAGGAATATGATTGTCACACTAGGAGCTATTCTCGCATCTTGCATTTTGCAAATTAGCCCCTTTCTTTTGTGATTGATCTTGCTGACCTAAGCACAACTTGTTTACAAGTTTGTTTTTGAAGGTCTGCCTGAACCACATAGCTGGAACACTAATATGATTTCGTCTCTAACGATAGGTTACCTGTAGAGTTTGGGCCTGAGCCGCCTTTATTTACCTCACACCTAAGAATGAGTTCATCCAAATGTCCAATATTATGGTTTCCATATTGCATATGGAATAGCTGACATAGCTGAAATTGCAATGATTTCACCCTAAGAAGGCCATCCTACAAATTCAGGGCTAAGGATAGAGTTATTTCTCTCACTCACAATTCACATTCATAGACACTGCCTTGCTATGGATTGGCAAACCCTTTGACTCACACAGAAATTGAATGTTCATCAGGAATCACAGCTTTCTGGGAAATATGTACTGTTGTGTATTATTTTTGCTATACATAATCATGGTTTCTAATTTGTATTTGTTCGAATCCATTCCTTTCTTAGTGAAGCCATATGAAAGAATGAATCTGAAGGAGCTCAAAGAAGCTGAAGATGAATTTGACGAAGAAGACATGAAAGCTATTGAAATGTACAGGTGTGCCAGGTTTCTAGTCTGCTCATTCTAAGCCAATCAAATTGCAAATGAAGGGCAAAGATTCCAAAATGGAGGTAAAATGGATGGTCGTGGTGAAATAGACTGATTCCTCTGCTGCATTTTTAAGTACACTTAAAAGATGGACAATAATTCCCATTTTTAAAGCTGATAGGATATCTCTAGACAAGCAGCTCCATCTAGTGTTTTAATATACCATTAGTTTTTCCTAAATAGTGTACCTGTACCAAATCCTTAGCTGCTAGGATTGTTCAGTGAGTTAGAGAGCCAGAGGTTGGGAGTTCAATTCCCCACTGTGTATCCCAGAAGAGTCAGCCTTTGTGGCTATGGGCAAGCTGCATAGTCCCAGGATGTCCCCAGAATAAGGGAATGGTAAACCACCTCTGAGTACTCTCTACGTAGAAAACCCTGGCAAGGGCCACCACAAGTCTGAATTAACTTGATGGCACACAGTTATTATTCGTAATTGTTAAATAGTAACTTAGCTACCACCCTGTCTTTGTCTAAAAATCTGAAAACTACCCCCCCCAACTCCAATTAACTTGATGGCACACAGTTATTATTAGTAAATATTAATTAGTAACTTAGCTACTACCTTGTCTTTGTCTAAAAACCTGAAAACTGCCCCCCCAACTCACAAAGTGTATTTCAGGATAGACCAAAAAAATTAGTGAAATGGAGGCTGTACTTGTTGCACTCAGCCTTTATTCTAGATGTAAACAACATGCATTTCTCTCTTCAACAATGCTGGGATTAGGGGTGCTGCGCCCCTACTTCTCCCTTCAACAATGCTGGGATTAGGGGTACTGGACCCCTGTGTAGTTCAAAATCTGGGTAGAACTCTTAACGCCCTCAGAAACGTACCTACAAAGCATAAACAGTTGGTCCACACACCCTACCTTCCCGAGCTGTGTAAGACGCCCAACATGCCCCACCACCTTCCCCGGCTGCCATGTGGAGCAGCCGTAACAAGAGCAGGGGCCAGCTAGACTGCCGCCATCAAATCAGGGGCTGCCATGCTACCAACAAGAGGTCCTTAGGGGAGCCCAAGGCCCACCTTTCTCAGGCTACTTCCTGGAGATGAATAGTAGGACAATATTTATTGAAAAAATATTTTTGGAATATTTATTTATTTATTTATTGGGGAGGACTGAATATAACCAAAAACGTGCTGCTCAGATCCATGCAATTTAAGGGAGAAGTGCACAAATAGACTTATAATGTCAATATTTAGAACAGTAGAGATATATTTATTACTGACAAAAACCTGAAGCTTCTAGTGCAGAGAAAGTTTGAAACAAGTGATCTGCAGAAGTGAAATGCAATGAAGAAATTGTCCAATAGTATAACTCTACTAATTTGTATATCAATACATCCCACAATATATTCATTGCGAACTTACCACTGGTGCCACATGTTTTATCTCCTGTTTTTAACTTTCTAGTTGTGTATTTATGCATTTGTAGTTTAACAGTATTTGTTTTATTTATGACTACTGTAAATCACTCAGAATAGTGCATTGCACTAATGGGGCGATATATAAATTTAGGAAACAAAAGAAATCAATTTGAGATAAATGTGCATATTGAGTTATATTCCTTACATCCGACAAACCTCTTTGAATGTCTTTAGAATGATGAAATTATAATATCCCATCCATATTGTCAGATTTTCATTCCCAAAATTCTCAATCATTGCAACAAGATACGTTGTAATAAGATTTTCTTCAAATTAGGAAACAACGTTTAGAAGAATTAAAATCTCTACAGAAGAGACAAAGATATGGAGAACTTTTAGAAATTTCTGGAGAACAGTACGTGAAAGAAATTACAGATGCACCAAAAGGTGTATGGGTTGTCATCCATCTCTATGGATCAAGGTAAATAGGATTTTTATGAAAGTGACTTGAGATTTAGTTCTGGAGATAACCTAATGGGGTCTGAAAGAAGATATTGAACCTAGGAAATCCTTTCAGCAGTCTTGGAATAAAAAAAAATGATAGTTCTTTACATGGATGAATTGTCATGGGACCATCTTATGTCATAGCCATCACTCTGGGAAGGAATTCCAGGCTGGCAGGCAGTGAATTGATAAAAGTATATGTTTGTAGTTATTTTTTAGACTACATATTGGTAATCTCAAAAATGGACTACTGCACTGCTCTCAACAAAGGGCTGCCCTTGAAAATTGTATGGAAACTTCAGCAAAACCAAAGTTTAGTGGCCATACTAGTTTCTGGGACTAGCAAATTGTACCAGTCTTAGTCCACCTACACTGGCTCCCTGTCAATTTTCATGCTCAATTCAATATGCTGGTTATAATCTATAAAGCCCTTGACAGTTTAGGGCCTTGATACATGTCGGAACATCACTCTCAGAAAACAGCTGCCTATTTCACTGTGCTCCTTCCAATCCACATTAGAAATAGCCTAAAAAGGTGACTATGAGGAACCAGGCCTTCTCAGTGGTGGCCTCAATTCTGTGGAATGAGCTTCCAATTGAGGTGCACCAGATGTTGCAAATATTAATTTTTAAATTGATATCTGCATTAAATTGATAACTGCATTTGACTTCACCATATTGATTGTGTTGATATATGGGGGTGGAGAGGAAGGGTTGGGGGGTCCAATTTCTATTCTGTAAACCACTCAGAGTAGTGAGTGTTCACTAATGGGGCAGTGTAAAAAATAACTTAGGTATGTGCATACATGCATGCATGCATACATACATCTCCTGGAACCCTGAGCCAACATTCTACTGGATGTTGTAATATTAATAATAAAAAAACTTATTCAAGATATCTGTCAGGTATACACTGAATGAAAGAAGAAGTCTATCAGAACACAACAAACAAAATGAATCAAGTATAACATATTTCTGATGCAGCACTGCATGTGTGGAATTACAGGGAACAGCTGGTTGACTATTTAATCTACTGTTTTCTTATGCATATTACAGTTTAATAATCAAACATGTTTTCTCTTTGACTGTTTGTTTATTTGTTTTTAGCATCCCGATGTGTTTTGTAATTAATAGACACCTTAGTCTACTGGCCAGAAAGTTTCCTGAAACCAAAATTATAAAAGCCATTGCCAGCAGTTGCATTGAAAATTACTCTGACAGTTGCTTACCTACATTAATTGTGTATGAAAATGGAGAAATTAAAGGCAAGTTCATTGGAGCTGCAGAATGTGGAGGACCAAATGTTACAGTTGAAGGTAATACTCAAAACCTTTTAGTGAACCATGGGCCTACAGGCAAAGAGCAGGATGGGGGTCCCAAAGCTATGTAAACTGCAGCTTTCTTCTCTTGGTTGCATGCATTTGCTACATCTGCCCATTACCTCTTTTGTTTTTCTCTCTTCTCTTAGAGTCTACTGTACCACTTGTTGCAGATCTCTGCTTTTTACACTCCTTCTTTCCAAGCTCCACACCAGCTCTGTTGTAAGGTCTGCTGCCTGCTCTTGGCTCATTGTAAAATCAAGGCAGTTTATGGCTCCATCCAGGGCAATCAACATCTCTTTTAATGAAGAACATTTGACTCAACTGTAGTTACACACACACACAAAATCAGTGGTTCCCAACCTTGGGTAACCCAAGTGTTTTTCTACTGTAACTCCCAGAAACCCTGACCAGCACAGTTGATGCTGAAGGCCTCTGGGAATTAAAGTGCATGAACACATGGGCTTCCCAAGGTTGAGAACCACTGCTCAAGATTGTTTATACCTGCAACTCCCACAATCTCTAACCATTGGCTGTGCTGGGTGGGGACAATGAGGGTTAGCCATTAAGACAATCGGGTCACTGCCCTATCTTATCCTACACCCTGCCAGTCCACTCCTTAGGCACAGATTGTGTCTTGGAGGCACCTTAAAAGTAAAATGCAATTCATTTTCTGTGTCTGCACATCATTCCCAGTTCCTAACTGGCTCCCACACAGCCACCCTGTGAATATGGCATCTTAATTTCCAGCAGTCTTCTACCCAAACCTTTTTCTGTTAAAATGATTGGGAGAAAAAACTCCCTTCTACTAGCATGGGCATCAAGGAACCCCTGGCCCCCGCCCCCCAACTCCAGTTCAATGAGAATGCAAGGCAGTGTGCCTTAATCTAATCATCTTCAGAGTGTTTGAGACATCCAGGGAGACAGGAAGTGGTCATTTCCTGACCATATTTATTTATGGTATCTGGATAGAGAGGCAAAACAATGTCTGTTTTGCTGTTGCTATGCCCTGCAATGTTTGTGTGCACACATGGGCATGTCTTTCATCCAGTGACTATAGATCTGTGCATGTCACAGCTTGACTGGACCATCTCTCTTCCACCAGCCCAGAGCAGGAGGCAGATTGCTGGGGGAAAAGAGCAAGCTAGGGAGGAAACTGTTGCCTTTGCTGGTGGACTGGACTGGATCTGGGACATAGGGAGGAGAAAGACGTTTTTTAAAAAATGAAACTCATTCTAGTCTCTCTGTCAGAAGCCACTTCTGTGGCTTGTTCACTCCTAGGAAAATATATAGAGGACTGCAGCCCTGGGACAAAGAAAGGAAATTTTAACCTTACCTCATAATCTTCTTTCATTAGTTTCTTTATGAAGCGCAATGAATATGTCACATAGGAATTTACGAGCTTATAATGCCGGATTCCCTGTTCATGTGGCTGTTCCTTGGCAAGAGAGAGAACACCTCTCTTCAGTATCCATATTAGGATACAATTTTTTAAATGTCCAATGGGCTGGTGACTAAGGCAGAATCAAGAGGGGAAATGGGGAGGGGAAGAGAAAGTGAGAATAAATGTGGATGAATCAGCAAAGTGGCCAGTTTTGAAACAAAGCATAGGAATAGGCAGCAGCAGATAGAAATATTTCTAATGTTATGGCAGAGTTGTGAAGTGAATGAACGACATGGAGTGAGAGAGTATCTGAATGAATGGTGGTTAGTCTGTTTGCTGGCAAGCAGATACATATTTACGTCTGCAAATGTCTGTGTTTATGTATGAGTACCCACATTTGCCACAGTTTTGCCTAGCACCCTTAGTTCCACCCACCATTAGCTGCTGTGATGTCTGCCCCACCAACCCTGATGTGCACCAGTTACCACTGGATGGGGCTGATGGGCACTGTAGATCAAAACATCTGTAGGGTGAAATGCTCTGTTCGCACGGTCTGGCCCTTCTCTGACCAACAAGTGGCTGAATCCCTTCATAGCCATTCATTAAAAGGAGCACTGTGAAGCACGGGTATCCAGAAAGGAAGCAAGCAGGGTCATTTATCCCCCTAACCATGGACTCCTAAATGCATTTCTATAATGGCTGCAAACAGAGGTCCTAGGTGCATGAAATTTAGCTGAGGTAGCACTGCATATCACCTTTTCTCCCAGAGGAATTCCTGTGGCTCCCCTTGCTGCATAGGATAGTTTTGAGAGAAAAGGTAACGAATAAAAAAAATTATCTGGACCTGTGCTAAACAAACTTGAAAAAGGGCATGAAATATGCATAATCTGTTTTTGTTGTTGATAATTTCAATCCACATTATTGATTCTGTTATAAAAACCAAAACCAAATGTCCCTTTATTTCCTAGTGACAGCTCTCAAATAATAAACAGTCATGCTGGCTATTTTGTCATAGCTCAGCAGGGAGATGCATGAAATTTAGCTGAGGTAGCACTGCACATCACCTTTTGTCCCAGAGGAATTCCTGTGGATCCCCTTGCTGCATAGGATAGTTTCGAGAGAAAAGGTAATGAATAAAAAAAAATTATCTGGACCTGTGCTAAACAAACTTGAAAAAGGGCATGAAATATGCATAATCTGTTTTTGTTGTTGATAATTTCAATCCACATTATTGATTCTGTTATAAAAACCAAAACCAAATGTCCCTTTATTTCCTAGTGACAGCTCTCAAATAATAAACAGTCATGCTGGCTATTTTGTCATAGCTCAGCAGGGAGAGGAATAGAAATTAACAAAAATATAACTTTTAAAAGGCTTCCATGTTGGGAAACAGTGGTGGTTGCATCAGCTGCCATGTGACAGTGGAATAGAAATTAACAAAAATATAACTTTTTAAAGGCTTCCATGTTGGGAAACGGTGGTGGTTGCATCAGCAAAGGGTTAGAGTTCTACCAAAAGGCTGGATTAAAATCTTTCCTCTGAGTGCAGTGAAAACCAAGAAGGAACCCAGGAGTCTCCAGTGTGAAGGAGGCTTGAGGATATCACAAGAATCCTTCCACCTGCAGTAATAGAACCACATTTCTACTTTCAGCCATTTCTACTTGGCTTACGTCATTTTTCTGTGCTAAGTAAGAACTAATTCCAGAGATGTGGCTTTTATTTTCTCCAGGTTCTTAGTACATTACAAATAATTTCTACTGTCATGTGACAGCAATCTGGGTTATTTAAAATGCTGGTGTAGTTGTTATGTGCCATCAAGCCATTTTTGACTTGTGGCAACTGTATAAAACAATGATCTCCATAATCTATTTTCATTAACAGCCTTACTCAAGCTTGCATGTCAAAATTGTCACTTCCTCTACTGAGTCAATTCATCTTACATTCAGTCTTCCTCTTTTCCTACCGTGTTTCCCTGAAAATAAGACAGGGTCTTATATTAATTTTTGCTCCAAAAAACACAATAGGGCTTATTTTCAGGGGATGTTTTAATTTTTTTCATGTACAACGATCTATATTTATTCAAATACAGTAATGCCATCATCTTCTGGTTGTTGCACAATGCTGCACAATGGTGGAGGGTGGGATTTCACTTAACTAGGGCTTATTTTGGGGGTAGAGTTTATATTACGAGCATCTTGAAAAATCATACTAGGGCTTATTTTCGGGAAAACAGGGTACTGCCTGCTGCTGCTCCTACCATTATCGCCTTTTTCAGTGAATCTCTTATTCTTATGATACAAGCAAAGTACAAAAGCCCCAGTTTAGTTATTTCATCTTCTAGTCTTGCTTTAATCTAAAATCCACTTACACATCTTTCTGGCAATCCATGGTATCTTTAAAACCTTCTTTTGACACTATATTTTAAATCAATAATTTCCCCCATCATCTTTCTTCATTATCCAGTTCTCAGATCCATACATAATAACTGGGAATTTTGTACTATAGTATGGGTGATCCTGGCCTCAGTTTCCAGCAACATATGTGTGCACTTACTTGTTTGATTTTCTGTATTTCTGTGTTGTTATTACGGTTTTGCTGAGTTTTGATTTCTGAAGTCTCCATTTGAACTGATAACTGAGATATAGAAAACGCTTAACTATTTTAATTTCTTCATTGTTTTCTGTTATTTTGGGGTATTCCCCCCACCAACAGTCAGCTCCTTTTATGCTTTCTTCTTCCACCTTCATATCAAGTTCTTGTAGTTTTCTGCCAGCAGTATGGTGGCATTTGCCAATGCTACATTACTTATGTTTCGCCCATGAATTTTCACTTGTCTTTCATATGAGTCTTGTCTAAAGTTTGGTATAATATGTTCTGTGTACAGTTTGAAGAGAAAGAAAGATAAAGAACACCCGGGGCTGCCACCTTGGCCTGACAAAGACCATCCTGTTTCTCCTGTTCTGTCCTAACGATAGCATCTTGTCTAGAACACAGATTAAGCATTAGGACAATCAAATGATGTGGCATGCCTGTTTCTTTTAGAAGGCTTCAAAGATTTTCTTGAGCTATACAGACAAGGGTTTCGCAAGGCTGAGTTTTAGGATATTTAAATAAACCTATGCCAACTAGCAGAAGACAACAGCTCCCTGCTAGACATGGGCGGCCCAGTTTCCTCCCCCAGAACCAGCTAGGTTCACTCACCAGTTTATGCACAGCTCTGCGCTCCTCCATTGTCACTGTCATGCCAATCCCAGCAGGAGCCCAGGTGGTGCTTCCTCGCCTCCCCACACAACCAACCACTTTGGTGCCATGATTTGTAAAGTGCCCAACGACAACAACTTATCTCATCTTCTAGCAATTTCCAAGAACACTTGGACCTCCAGATATTTTGAACTGTAACTCTCACAGTTCCTGACTCTTGGCCAAGCTGGGAGGGACAAATAGGAACTGCAAACCAGAATATCTATAGGGCCAAATATGCTCCATTTCTGTTCTAGTTTTCCTAGGAACCCTCTGTACATCATACTGACTTGCATAAAGAAGGTAAAGTGGAATATATATATTGAATCAATACTTTTGTCTTGTCTTGTCTTGTCCTGTCTGAGTTGTCCTTGTTGTTTCAGAACTTGAATGGAAGCTGGCAGAGCTTGGTGCTGTAAAAACTGATTTAGAAGAAAACCCCAAGAAGAAGGTTGTGGATATGATGACATCTTCACTCAGACATATGTCCATGAACGACAGTTGGGCAATGGCGAACAGGGCTTGTGAAGAGAAAAACTGAAGAAACTGGAAAAATACACAAAGAAAGCCCTTGACAGTCCTCTATTTATATTTGGTCAAATTATACTTAACCAACCCTTCTTAAAGTCCAAATGGAGACTTCAGAAATCAACAAAACCATAATAACAACACAGAAATACAGAAGATCAGTCAATAAAGAAATTTTTGCCTGAATGCAGTTGAAGCTGTCTGTATATCATCAGTACCCAGGTCATACTGTATATATTATCCGCTTCATTCCAGTATTCTTTGTACTCCTGGCAAGATCGGTATCTCACTTTGAAATCATGCCGTGAGGTACCCCTCTGTTTTGTCTGTATATCATCAGTACCCAGGTCATATATATTATCCACTTCATTCCAGTATTCTTTGTGCTCCTGGCAAGATGGGTATCTCACTTTGAAATGATGCCATGAGGTACCCCTCTGTTCCAGCACGAGCCATCAATGCCCCAAGCTCTTTCAATAAGCCATGTCTTTGCAACATAATTGTGTATATACTTACTTACAAGATGCAGTCATTTCTTTTCAAGAAATCTCACTTCACAGAACTGTGTTCAGGGCTGCAAGCTCTGCTACTTGAAGATGGGTGCTGTCTCCAAGAAGGACAGCTTTAGAACAATCGCAAAGAACAAGTGAATTGAGATAACTGCCATGAAAACCCAAGGTTTGCCATGGATAATATTTACATGACTAGATATTATAGTTCTTCCAAGAGCCACCTGAAAGCAGAATCTGGCTTCCAATTTAATGGTACATATTTAAGAAAATAGCGTTCAATTAATTTGAATGCTACAATATCCTGTTTTTGTGGGATCAATGGTCATGGCTGTTTTCTTCCCTACTAGGAAGATTACTTCTGCTGTGTAACAAAGTTACACTTGCCCACTTTCCTTTAACACAGCTTTGTGTCAACAGTAACATTTTTCCCCAGGGTGGAGATCTAATGTTACCAAAGTTGCAAAATACTTTTATAGAGCAAAGATGGGGAGGGGAATTAGCAGAACACATATGGAAACAGATGAGTACCAAAGTCAGTCTAAATACACCCATATGTAATTCATGTTTTTTCTTCTATTGTACATTTGCCAAACGGTGGCTGCTTCTGATAACTTCTGTAAGGCTTGTTACATTGCATTTGTCTTCATACTTAGATCAGATTAGATTAGGCATCCTCCAGTCTCGAGAGACTATGGTAACGTGCTCTGAATACTGTAAAGGACTGGGAACAGCATCTAGTGTGGATGAGAAGGACAATTTGAGAGTGACAATTCCTTCCGCATTGAAGACAAATAAATCTGTCCCCTGTCCAGTTCCCTGATTTTGCCTGTTTGCCTTGGCCTGCTGGACAAGTGTCTCTACAAATGCAAGAGGCCAAGATGCACCACCTGCCTACAGGCTGAACTCTCAGATTTCAAGGTTTCCAATCTGTTGAGGTCCATTCCTAAGGCCTTCAGATCCCACTTGCAGATGTCCTTGTATCGCAGCTGTGGTCTCCCTCTGGGGTGATTTCCCTGCACTAATTCTCCATACAGGAGATCTTTTGGAATCCAACCATCAGTCATTCTCATGACATGCCCGAGCCAATGTAGACATCACTGTTTCAGTAATGTATACATGTGAAAAATTCCAGCTCTTTCTAGGATTACTCTATTTGGAACTTTGTCCTGCCAGGTGATATCAAAAATGCGTTGGAGACAATGCATATGGATCATTTTCAGTTTCCTCTCCTGCCATGCACGAAGGGTCAATGACTCGTTGCAGTACAGGAGTGTGCTCAGGACACAGGCTCTATAGACCTGGATCTTGGTATGTTTGTCCGGGCCATGTCAGGACCAAATATAACAAGATCATCCAAATAAGCCTAAGCAAATGGAAGGCCAGCTAAACTTGGTATGTTTGTCCGGGCCATGTCAGGACCAAATATAGCAAGATCATCCAAATAAGCAAACGGAAGGCCAGCTAACAGTTTGTTCATCATCCTCTGGAAAGTAGCTCCTTCATTCTGTAACCCAAATGGCAACCTTGTGAATCTCAATCTGTGCAGCATGAGCCCCTATAGCCCTATAGGACTGGACCTCACAGGTGGGCTGTCCCCTTTGTCCGGGCCATGTCAGGACCAAATATAGCAAGATCATCCAAATAAGCAAACGGAAGGCCAGCTAACAGTTTGTTCATCATCCTCTGGAAAGTAGCTCCTTCATTCTGTAACCCAAATGGCAACCTTGTGAATCTCAATCTGTGCAGCATGAGCCCCTATAGCCCTATAGGACTGGACCTCACAGGTGGGCTGTCCCCTGTGTCTACAGCATGGGTGACTGAATCAGTAGAACCAGGTATGTCAGAAAACACACTTTGGTAATATTCCAGAATTTGAGAAAGTCACTCCTGCTCATCAGGAGTACCTGAATGAACAAAGTTGTCTAGTCAATTTCCAGCATTTTTCAAATCAGTCAGAATGTCCATAGGCTCTTCCTCTGGCCTAACACAAGTGGCTTGACACCTCAGAATGACAGCTGCTCTGTTCTTAATATGGTTTGAGGCTGTTAATGTGATAGATGGTAGGCTTCCTCCCTGAACCAGGTATCTGAACAAGGTAATTAACCGTTCCAACTCTGCAAAACCTTTCCTGGGCCTTCCCAGGCAATGTCCAATTTATGAGGCCTGAGGGGGTTCAATACAAGAACAGAGTCTCCCACCTCAAATTCCCTGTGCCTCGATTTGAGGTTGTGATAAAATGTTTGCTAGGCTTGGGCCTGCTGTAGGTTTTCCTTAGCTGCCTCCTTAATAACTTTCAGCTTAATCTGCAAATTATACACAAAGTCAGCAACAGGCGCTGAACTGGCTTGGATTGTGCCTTCCCAGTCAGCCTTCAAAGTCAAACATACCAAGGACCTAATCTCCCTAAGGAGACAGGGAGTTCCTCAGCCACAAATCTACCACCTTACATTGGGGCAAGTCCTCAACCTCAAGCAGTGCATAGCATTTGCGCCAAACAAAACAAAAACTAAACTATAAACTAAGGTAAGCAAACGATATTCTTACGCAGTCCATATTGTTGAATTAGGTTCCTTCGCTTGGATCAAAGAAATGCGACGCCATGTTTTCAGAACCCAAAAACTCTCTTCTCCCTCTCAAGTTACTTTTTCCAACCTCTTGTAAATTTCTCCAACCTGCCCCCTCCTGACATACTCAACCAATCACGAAGGCAAGAATTAGCAAAACCTTTCCCGGGCCTTCCCAGGCAATGTCCAATTTATGAGGCCTGAGGGGGTTCAATACAAGAACAGAGTCTCCCACCTCAAATTCCCTGTGCCTCGATTTGAGGTTGTGATAAAATGTTTGCTAGGCTTGGGCCTGCTGTAGGTTTTCCTTAGCTGCCTCCTTAATAACTTTCAGCTTAATCTGCAAATTATACACAAAGTCAGCAACAGGCACTGAACACTTGTGCCTTCCCAGTTAGCCTTCAAAGTCAAACATACCAAGGACCAAATCTCCCTAAGGAGACAGGGGGTTCCTCAGCCACAAATCTACCACCTTACACTGGGGCAAGTCCTCAACCTCAAACAGTGCATAGCATTTGCGCCTGGAACAAGTCTGACCTTAAAAGAACACTTTACCTTTACTCAGTACTTTGCAAGTACAGCAACATGGGCTTTGTGATTCCTTAAAACTCACAACAGCTCAGGTAATTAGGACTTCTCTGGTAGCTAGTCAATGGCCATTACCACTCCTCTGGATTTAGCCAAACCCTGCTGATCCAAGAGACCAGTCCTCAATAAGGATTTTTATAATTTTTTATTAAGAAAATATATGTAGCTTTGTAGAAACAGTTTGTTTTTGCTCAAGCATTAGCATAAAGACATGTTCAAAGGATTACCATAGTTAAACACAACAACTAATTCCCATTAAAATAACAAACACTAAGACTGAGCTCCTTCTACTCTTACCTACATTCTTTTTCCTTCAAGCTACATAACACAAACCATCAAGAACTTCTCTCAGACATAAGTTCTCTTTCACACCATGGTCTCCCTTTCTCAAACACAACCCATCATCCATTTTCTACATTCCTCAGACCTCCTCCTTCATGACTGTAAACCAATTAATTCAAAGAGGCATAACTGTTCAATCCACCTACAATTCTCATGGAGATGCAGGTGGTTTATCTCCATTCCAATTAGAAAAGAATTTGTTGGGTCTTTGCGCATGGTCTGCTTGTCCTTGCATCCTTATCAGGTTTCACACTGTACCAGCCTGGCTGTAAATTATGAATAACAACCTCCCTGCCTTTCTCACATTCCCATGTCTTCAACTCCTTTCACTTTTAAAATCTAACAGACTCCATTTTCTTTCCTCCTCATTGACTACAAATCCCACTCTCCTTCAATCTCATGACAATGCTTCTATTTCCTATTTAATTAATGTTTTTATTTGTGATTTTTTTCACTCTTTGCCTTAGAAAGAGTAACTACTATAGATGTTTCAGATGTGAGAACTCATCTGTCACAGCTTAAGCCAAAATGTTTTTCACAGCAGTGCTTTCTGTTCAGATTTAAACAGATAGATTCCATAGTATGGGTGACGAATGAAATCACTATAAAGAATGACTTACAAGTTCTCACTTATTGAAGCATAATTAGCAGCCTGAAGCTCTGACTCAGTAGCAACCTCATTCTAAGAATGAAAGTGTTATAAATGAAAATATTACTGAAGGTGCAAATGAAGAATGCAGAAAGAGCCAAAGAATAATGATTTTGGTCATTATTATGAACTTTAATTAATATTTAGCCTAAGGATCAGGACTTGCATTTGCACATGACCTTCAATGATCTTTTCCTTTGCCTCCTTAAGCACTCAGAGACAAACGTTAAGGAAGCAATCCTGTGATGTGCATTGCAAATTGAGATACTGTATGAACATTCTGCAAGTAAGAGTCAAACCAGATGTTAAGGGCAATGCATGTTAATTCCCTCCAATTAATTCAACTTCCCTCCCACAAAGGGATTTCCTCAGAGGGGATTGTATTGACAACCAGACTTATGCATGTGTTTACCTTCCAGAGAAGAGTCACAAAACGCTCTGTGCAAGGTATATGGATGAAGAAAATCACATGGGTTAGGCCAGTGGTTCCTAACCTTGGGTCCCTAAATACTTTTGGACTACAGCTCCCAGAAATCCTG